GAACACTCGCTGCCTTTCATCGATGAGTGCAGCCTGAAGAGCCTGAAGAGTGAGTCTGTGATCTGGAGATAACGACAGCGTGTGATCGCAGCCTGGTGAAGCCACAGAGACACAAAGTGTTTGGTGAGTTCTCAGTGTCAGAAGAGACGAAGCAGCCGGTGTCTCTGCTGCTGCAGCTGATCTCAGGTCAGAGGTTTGCTGCCATCCAGTGGTTTGATGTAACATCTGCTGAAACGATGAAGAGGAGAGTTGCTCTTCCATCTTTCTACTTCTCTTCCTCATGAAGTTCTTTCCTCTCTTACTTCCAGTATTCCTCCTTTCTGTCTTCTTATCTTTTTAACTGTTTTATTTCCTTCCCTCTGCTGACGATGTTTGTGTTAGACAGTAAAGCCAAATGTGTGATATTACTGAAACACATGCCACGGTAGGAGAAGGTGTCGTAGGAGAGGAGGAAGGATGTAGGAAAGGAAATGAGTGGGTCGAGGTGAAGGAGAGGAGAAGGGGGGAGGAAAGGAGGAGAAGGTAAAGAGACTTAGAGGAGGTAGAGAAGAGGAAGCTGTTGCAGTTCGTTCTGTAGTCTCTGGTGTTTTTCAGCCTTTGAGGAGATGTGAAGACATTAAGGTGTACCTGAACGCACCATTTGTTTTAGCCTCTGTAAGGTTTGATGTCTTTCCCCAAAGCCTCCAAACTATCATCATAACCTGGATATCTGCAGCTTTAATAAACACACTGAACACATCACTACCAACGTATAAAAGCATGAGGCTCGTCTCTCCACCAGCAGAGGAGGCTGTGGTCTCGTTCTCTAGAGAACTGGTGAATGTGTCGTATATTTAACTATAATGGGATTATTAAATACTCATATTGGTTCTGTGTTGGTAAATATAAAGCATTTGTGCATCCCTACTTTTTAATACTTTGTTTAACTTTATCAGGTGTCTGTGAAGCACTTTACCGTTTACTAATATTATACAATTAACACTGATAAGTTCTTTTGTTACTACTCAGTATTTTGTTAAAGTACCACCAATATGAAATATCAATTCACAAACATACTAAAAGATAAACTCATCATAAAAGGCTTAAAACATTACCAAAAATACCCTTTATTTTAAAAGGTGTGCGGGAACAACAGTGCATCATGGTCCTGAGCGTCGGTACGAGATGTACAAGCTGCAGCAGTGCATCATGGTCCTGAGCGTCGGTACGAGATGTACAAGCTGCAGCAGTGCATCATGGTCCTGAGCGCCGGTACGAGATGTACAAGCTGCAGCAGTGCATCATGGTCCTGAGCGCCGGTACGAGGTGAACAAGCTGCAGCAGTGCATCATGGTCCTGAGCGCCGGTACGAGGTGTACAAGCTGCAGCAGTGCATCATGGTCCTGAGCGCCGGTACGAGGTGAACAAGCTCCCGTCTGTGAGGACGACATGTTGCCGTTGTTGCGTAATCCGACACCTTCTGGCTTCTTCCTCACCGCTATAAACAGCAGCAGGATGTGGACCTCCATCTGATCGTCCTCTCCGTCAGCACCGATACAAACACTGAGCATCCTTCTCCACAGATCTCAGTCCACCACAGAGGAGTCACATGTTATTATTTATTCATATTCAGAGGAGAGAGAACGACAATCAAGACGATGCTGCTAGAAAGTCGATCATAAAACTCACGGATCGAATCAGTGCAGAAGAAATAAAGGAGCAAAATGAGACTGAAGAAAACAACATTCACCATCGTAGGAGAAGCCAGAGTTTATGTAATAGACGTAAATAAATATTCCAGTCATAAACCAACAGGTAAACAGTCTGACTGATGGGAGTGTGTTTATTCCCTCTGCTGTGTGAAGCTTCTGCAAACAACAGTAAACTGGATGTAACCTGCACTGAGTGGTGACATTTCTAATCCAGGGCTCAGATTAAGACTCCCGTGTCGTTATGTCCTCACTGCCGTGTTGGGGTGTAGCACCGAGGTGAGATTTCGGGAAACATCAAAGACCAAATAAACCTCCTGCAGAGTTACACGTTGTCTTTCCTCATTAAAAGCTTCAGCTTCCCTCATAAACAGCTGTTTGAATGTCTTGTCATTTCACTCTTTTCTCAGCCGAGTGTGACCAGAGGAATAACCCCCCCCCGATGAAGAAGAGGTCAGGAACTAAACACACATTTCTAAAAACTTCTCTCGTCTTTTCTTGTCGCACGTTCAATCAGAAAATCTTCTGTGATTTCACAAAAAATCCCAGAAGTCAAACTAAACAGCTGGAGCTCTGCAGAACTATGAGTACGGAAGTTCAGAAACACCAAAACGATTGAGACAAACACTGGAAACGAGTATCGGTAAATTAAGATTTAAGAGTTCAGGTTGAGTGATATGATTGTACCACGATCACATCATGCTGGATGATACGGAGAGAAGAGATTGTTTAGGGTCATCAGGTAAACAAGATGTTATTATGATTGTAGTTGGAAATGGTTTAAAGATATCGTGCATGGACGATGTAACACTGTGGCTAAGCTGCACCGACGGATTCACTTTTAAACCTGATTAAATGATGTTGCACCAAACTGTAAAACTAGCTCATAATTAAGAAAGATTCAATTTAAATATCTTGTTAAACGTTTAGTTTTTACTTTAAATGTAGATGAAATGTTATTATTTTGCACCAAAACTTTAAACTCCAGTTCAAACTGTAATCCAGTATTAACTTTAAACTTACAGCTTTGTAAATAAATGGATCGAGCAAAATAACGAAGCTCCTCGAAGAAAGTTCAGTAAACTGTGATCAGAACTAATCTGAGATTAAATGAATCCCTGTTGGTGCCAACGAGTCCATATCCATGAGATTTGGTCTTTAGTATTGTTTACTGTTTCAAGCATTTATGTTTTATTAATTATGAATGAACATTTGGTTATTTTATCAAAAAGCATCTATAATCATGAGATATGATGACATAAAACGTCTGCTTCTACTCTGTTTTGGTAATTCCAACGACATTCTACTTTTGATGTTAGTGATCTTCCATACACTCAGGGGGCGGGACTTCAATTACACTCAGGGGGCGGGACTTCAATTACACTCAGGGGCGGGACTTCAATTACAACTCAAGATGTTAAGAAGTAATTTCTTTTTTAAGCCAAATCTAGAAACTTGTAGAAACTTTAACTTTAAAATCCATGAAGTGAAAATAAAAGTGGTTAACAGTAATAAGCAGAAACGGTAAACTCTGTTGACCTTTGACCCTTTGTGTTTTTACATTCTGCCAGAGACATTCATCAACACTTGAACGTTACATGATGTTACATCAGGTTTCATCGACGGTACAGAAGCTTCCTCGCTGTGTTCACGTCACATCGATCAGATGAAGTCGGGTTGAAGGTTCCTGAGGTTGAATATTGCTTTAGACAGTTTGTGCTTTACAGTCGAGCGTTAATGCACCGAGAACATGTGAGCGGCTCATTGCGTCTGCTACACATTCAACTTCATCAGAGTGTAAAGTGGTTCATCTCAGCGAATGTCTGTTGAAACCTTGTTTACAGCCAAAGGAGGTAAAAACGCTGCATTACAGTTTTTCTCTTCTGTAACACGTTGGGATGAAATGTTGGACTCAAAGAATCAGACTGAAAACTCAACAGGACTCAAATCTTAAGGATTACTTTAAATAACATAATGTTTCTCAGTATAAATACTCTTTTGTGCTCAAGGTTTCTTTAGTCAATTGTTGTTTTTTTTTACCCGTTTCTTGGCAATTCAGATTCATTTTGATAAATTCTCTTGAAGAAGGTTTCCACATTTTATTTCCTAAAGAGGCTTCGGATCTTCTTTTAGAATAATAATTTAAGTTTTTCTGTGTTTTATTGACATCAAAACCTGAAAACTATGAAAACAAACTTTATAAAAAGTCTCCAAACTATAAAGAGTTTCTTAAATTTTTGTTCTGGAGCTTAAACTTCATGCTGAATAAATGACATGTCAGCATTATTATTATTAATTGGATTAGATTAAAATTCATAAACCTCAATATTTACTATATTGCGATAGACATTTGAACCATTTCAAACTTTTTTCACTTAAAAACGAAGAACGGTCTGTAAAAAATAAACATAATTCTCCTGTTAAACATCTTGTGACCATAAGATTTGTCCTGCGACCCTTGTTGGGGCCCCTGCCCCCGGGTTGGGAACCATTGATCCAAACAGCAGAAGACAAACTTCATTAAGAGCTCATTTGTTGGATAATAAGTCAAATTGTGTGCAACATTTCTGATCTTGGTGCTTTTGTAATGGACGTTATGTAATCATGTTTAAATAGAGATTATACAGCATCAACGTACCGATACAGTTCAGTTATAGACCGCCTGTAAAATGTATTGAACTGGTAATATAGATATCTGAGAGAGCTTTACATACACTACTGTATCTACATTCAGATATATTATAAATATCCTTCTTTACCATCGCTGGATTTTACATATTCAAACATATTTATACATGTTTTTATATATATATATATATATATGTATAATCAAAACTCACACACATCCATATATACAGATAGTAGATGTCATATCTACATACATTGGATCACATTGGTGTGAACGTGCTGATGGTCTGTTTGAATTTAGCATCTCGAGTCTCTTTGGAGATTTCCCCGAAGGCAGAAGAAGTATTGCTTTGTGTTTTTTATTGACATTTTCTGAGCTAGTGGAGTCCAACAAAGTCTCTTCTTCACTAAGAACCAGAACCTGGACTGGACAGCGTTACCCCGAGGTGGTTTCTTCTCCTCCATATTGCTTTCAATATTGCTGCTGTGTCTCTTGCGTGGAGGGAGAAACCCAGAGGATCGAGAGCCGCCGACAGAGTTTAATAAGGAGCGAGAGGGTTTAAACGGGAGGCAGAGGCCGCCGCCGGGGTCCAGTCTGTACCGGTCTGGTCTCGGTCTAGTCTGGTCTGGACTGGTCTGGTCTGGACTCGGTCCGTCGGCGGGGTCAGAAAAGGTCCTGAGGGCCCAGGTGGATGATGATGGGCGTGGCGATGGTCTGCGGCTGGTAATAAGCGCTGTCGATGTACAGGCCGCCTACAGAACGGGAGACACCGGCAGCAGGAGGTTAGCAAGAAATGATCAGCAGCACTTCATCTGGATGTTTGTTTTTGTGATGGATAGATGAGTTTCAACTGCTAAAGAGGTCAGAGGTCAGAGTACATACTTTGTCGTAGCTGCTTTCAGGAGGACTAAAGTAGCTCCCAGGGTTCTTAGCACTCGGAGGGGGGGGGGGGGGGATCAGTAGATTCAGTGCAGCTGGTCACTTTGATTGTTTCTCTCTAGCACAGGTGCATTCTGGATGTTTGGTCCAGATCTGTTGTTATTATCTGAAGTTCTAACAAACTGCTGATATTGTGTCAAACAACCTGGTTACGATCGCTGAACTGTGATTGGACGTTCGCTGTTTGGGGGAGTGGAGTTTCCAAATGATTAGCTACAGCATCATCACTTTGTACGTCTTGGTACATAACAATACCTTTAAAACATGCCGACATCACTAAAACGTTAAACAAACGACAAACAAACAAAGTGTGAGGGAAACTGTGCTCCTCTATACATGTGATATTTTACAGTATGCTTTTGTTTTGCTAACCTGTCTTCTCTTCTTTCTCTTCTTTACTCTAGTTTCTTTCATTACTTCAAGATCTCAGCGATGAACTTGGTGAGAACAATGTTGTTATTGTTATAATTGACAGAAATAATGTCCAAAAGCATTGAAAATAAGTTTTAATAGCACAGAATTCTCCTCTCAGAGTGGACACATGAGGATGTATGATACCGAGTTAAGTATCAGGAGTGAAGTTAATTTATGTTCAAATTATACAAATCAAACAGCACAGACAGGTTAGTAATGTAAAACACTATTCTTTGATGTATAGTGCTGCAGGCCATATACAGTAATTCCTTTTTGAAAATGAAGTAACTGCAAATCACATCTGGATGAAACCTTTACGAACCACAAGCTACTCAGCTGCTGACAAAAATATTAATTTATTCAAACAGAATATAACCTACAAACAGGTCAGAATAAAATCTCTCTCTGAAGAGAAAGTGTTCAAATACTCAACAACAGCAACTGTAAACATCCAACAAAAGGAAAACGTTCCTCAGTGCAAACGATTATTGTAAACTTAAAATATTAGAAAACAGAGAGAAATTTAAATACAAGACAGAGTTCACATCCATGAGGGACAGTTAAAGGAACAGTAACCCCGTTTAAAAATAAGCTTTCTGAAGTCTGCATGTTAGCAGTCTTTATCTGCGTATCTGGTGTCACTTAGTTCCCTACAGCAGATGTTTATTCAGCTCTCTAACTTTAGTAGTCAGGGGTTTTCTTTAGTTCCCTTCAGTGGTTGTTGGGTTAGTTCACACACAGAAGACGTTTGGTTCCCTACTTTGTAGTTGTTGGTACATAGCGGGCGTTTATTGTTTGTTCCCTACAGTCACTGTTTACTTTCATACCATTGATGTTTAGTTGGTTAATAATTTAGATGTTTAGCTCTTTGCAGTTTATTTATTTAGTTCCCTGGTTTTCAACATGATGTATTTAGTAGTCTGTGTATGGTCGGTCGGTGTTATTTTAGTTCCCAAAACAAATATTTTTAGTTCCCTAAGTTGGCTACTTTGTTGCTGCAGTTGATGCTATTTAAGTTCCCTGCAGTGAATATTTAGTCAGCTACTGTAGGGAACTTTAAGAAAAAGGAACAAAAATAAACTAAATAAATAGCAGTTGATATCTTTTGTAGATATTAATTTACTTTCTGACTTTGAACTTGGTGACCAGTTGTTCTTTTCCTCGCTGTAGTGAATACTTAAGATGGTTCTTCATGCTGTAGGGAACTTACTTACTTCTGTAGTTCCTAACAGAGGATGTTTGGTTCCTACATCAGATATTTATTAGCATGTTTTTGATTTTCTTTGGATTGTTTCCATGAGTGGCTTATTATTTTTATTAGGTCCATACAACTACTGTTTATTTAGTTTGTTTACTTCGGTGTTTAGCTGTTGTTTTCTATGGTGGGGGATTAATTAGTTCCCTATAGCGAATGTTCATTTAGTTCCCTACAGTGTGGAACCTTGCCCATCTATCAAAGAGCTCATGTGTCAAACTCTGTGTTCTGACACACAATTTGTTTCAAGCTGGTTGCTAATGACGGAACGTTTTTTGGGTGTTTGAAGCTTGTGTCTTGAACATGAAGTAAAAGAAAGGGGATAACTGACTTCCTGTGGGGGGGTGAGGTGAGGGTCCTAATAGGGGTATAGTTGGGTGACGGGGTATGGTGTAGGGACTCTGATGACTGGGACAACTACTGAGGGCATTCTGGAGGGAAAACCTGAGGAAGAGCAAAGAAAAAGAAAAGAAAGAAAGAAAAACTCAAATGTAGTGATGGACAAATCAAATGGATGGATTATTGATGAGTGACTGAGGGTTTACCGTAGGGAGGGAGGGCTCCTGCAGGGCTGTAACCGTAAGGAGCACCGAAACCTGGGAGGAAAGAGAGAGGAAGGAGCATACAGTGTAATTAAGTGTGTTAACGTAGTCTTTTGTAATCTGAGTTTAATATTCCAGAAGTTCACAGATATAAAACGGAACTTTTATTGAAAGTTCTACAAAAAATAATATATTATCTTCTGTTAACAGCCAGTTAGCTTAGCATAAAGACTGGAAACGGGGAGAGACAGCTAGCTTGTCTCTGTCCAACAACAAAATCCATTTACCACTTCTAAAGCTCACTGTAGAACTATTCTGTCTCTTAACTTCCCGTAAAATGATGAGTTGTTGTATTGTGAGACTGAGCTGATTTAGTTACAGTTGTATAACCAGGTCAGCTTTTTCTTTATGCTAAGCTAACAGGATGCTGGCTTTGTATTAAGTGGTGTTATTCTTTAATCTATTCCTCCTCCAGAAAACAAATAAATAATACAAAAATTACTGAACTTCATTAAACTGTAACTCAACAAATAATCCTACATTTGTAGAGTCTTCTGGTTATTTTTCAGATTAATAACTCCAGTACGTTTTGGATCTGTGACACTATAAATAAGTACATAAACCTAAAATAAAAACTGTAATTTTACCAGGCAATCAACACATTGTTGAGTTCAGCCTTTATGTGCTGAATGAACATAATTAAAAGGTTAAAATTGGGTTAATAAATGTTGGAAAAGCCAAAGATCCTCTGCTTTTAAGTTCAAACCCTTATGGAAGGAGTTAGAATATGTATTTTCTGAACTATAACCGTTTCTCTCCCCTCAGTCTTTTGCTTATAAATCATGTTTAAAAAACAAACAAGCTGTGACTCACCCTGGGGGAGGTATCCATGTGTGGGGACGGTGCTGATGTAGGGAGCTCTGGGGATGACGGGGACTCGTGGAGGTCTAGCTGTGAGAGCCGGGAGGGTCAACACCGAGGCTACTGGCCGCTTTGGCTACATAAACAAACACACACCAGATACACATGAGCACCGAACATGCGGCTGTTTGATTAAAACGTTGACCCTAGAAGCACTTCATGTACTCACAAGAGGGTTGGGTCTCTTCTTCTTGCTGCTCGTAGACTTGGAGCCGGAGAACAGGCTGTTCAGGGCCGAGAGAGCTGCGCTGGCTTTGGCAACTTTCTTATTGGGACCCGTTCCCCGAAAAACCTGCTTGTCCACCTCCACCTGTCGCAAGACACAGAGAGGAGGAGGGCTTCTGATGAAGTTTGTAAAAACAGAGGTGAATCTAATGCTCCTTCTTTTTTTGTCTTGATGCTTGTCTCTTCAGCTGGAATGATTAGTTGGTGAACTGATTAATAGAATCGGAGTCAAACTACTGATATGAACAGATCTGTTCTGAAGTCACATCTTCATATTTGATTTTAAGTTGCTTGTATGGTTATTACACATTTTGGGTTATTACCACATTGTTGAATGCAGTTATTATAAGTAACTTCAGATAAAAGCTTCAGCTTCATAAATCGAATGATTCTATGCCGATGACACTCTTTTCTTTCTTCACAATATTATTTTGTTTCTTCTAAGAACTCCCAATAAGACCCTCTGAAAGGAAGACAGGAAGTCTATGAACTTTGTGTTGTTGTACCTCGATGATGAAGCGCTTGTCGTAGCTGCTGCCGCTCTCTGATATCAGCTCGTATTTGAGGCCGCGGCGTTTCTCGTTGAGCTCCATCACCGGGTTTTTACCGCCGGCCGTCAGGATCGGACCTGGAGCTCTGGACTGAGGACAGAGTCACGCCTCACATCTGTTATACATATGTATTCCATATTTCCCATGAGCCCTCTCACATCACTTGTCCCTCCTACATGTTGGAGGAACAGTTAAGCTAAAAAACAAACAGTCTAACTGACTGATATTTACACATTTATATAAATCGTTTTACCTCCAAAACAAATGTATTTTAGCAATGAATTGTTTTTTAAATATTTTTACCCTTAAATTCTGTTATTAAAGAATGACTACGATCTGTACCGAGCAACATTTAGTATTTCTGGTTATATTAATATAATCATATTATTGACAAATGTGCAAATGGATCAGTCGGGCTTTGAGTTATGATGCAGTAAAAGAACAAAAGTATTAAATCTTCAACATCAGAGCTCATTGTTTCAGAAGCTTTGTTTTTTTATGTTTTATTCTTTTTGTTGCACTTTTCACAACAAGGTTACAAAGTGCTATATAAATAAAGTTTACTATTTTAAAAGATGTATACATTTTATATAATATTATAATATATTCTACATTTGAATTTGTATTACTTTGCAGTATTTTATATCTTCGAGTCTGAGATGTTTCTCTTTTTATACATATTTCATGAGCATCGTTGGAGGCAGCCTGAGAGACATTCAGCTTCTCTGTTATTGTTATTAATAAATAACTTGAACCTGAGAGGAGGAAGAGAGTCGCCAAAGTTCAGGTCTCTCCAGATTCATGCTGTGTGTATATATATATATA